TCTTTATTATTCAACCAAGAATCGCAAAATCTGTGCTCGTATGATTTTTTTTGTGAACGACTCGACTTAGAAGTGTTGTTTTCTCTATCTGTTTCATATTCAGATGAATCCATTTTAAAAAAATGTGTACAAACTACTACAGTACTTACTACTTCGTACTGAAAAAAACTATCTGTATTGCGCAGTAACAACTGTAACAGATATCTTACTTCCAATAATTAATTAAGATTTAAAATCTTCCAGACCATTCTATCATTTGAAGATATAAATAATATATTTTCAATTTCGCATTATATTAATACTTAATACTACCATGATGGCAGTCTGGCCAGATTATAAAATATAAAGATTATATTAAGTTCTTTATAATCGTGTTTCGTGGATGTCGGAATGGGATGTCGGTGGACGGGAGAGCGAAGTATACATAGCCGTGATATCATTCAATTATTATTATTATTAAAAAGGTTCAAATTTCGGAATTACACAAGATAAGCCAACGACGCACCGCAGACAGCGATCGCAGAGTGCAGACCGGCAACCCCGCGGCCCGCACCCTAAAAATACGCGTTATGTACGCCGTGAACACAGTGCATACTACTATAATTATTTAATTATTACAAACACGCCATTCGAGATTCGACCATCACCATATTGGTACTTTGCCGTTTCTCTTCTACTACTTCTACTATTTGACATTTGTTAACAATTAATGACTGTTGGTCATTTGTGACTTGTGTGCCATTTAGTTTTCACTTTTCAGTTTTATTGTTTTTTTTTTACATATCATTTATTAGTTATTACACTGACGGCTGTTAAATTACCTATAACAGTACATAGGTACACCAAACGTCATATCGGTAAGTACCCTATTTTGCTATTTTATTAGATACACTACATCATTATATTTTATTAATTTATTAAAATGTTACTAAGTATTGTAAACCTAATACTGTGTATACCTACCCAATTTATAAATTTAATACCTAAAAATGGCACGAATATTGCAGAAAAAAACTGAGGTAAATAATTTTCTATTATAGTATAGGTAGGTAAGTAACAGAATATGAATTTCTATGTAGGTAGGTAGGTATGTAAATAAAAATGATAATTTAATGATAAATTAAATAACAGTCGTACCTATATGGTTCTAAGTAAATTAATTTCTTATGATGTCGACATTGTTAATTAATGTTATGCCTAAATTTAATTTTTAATTATTTCTAATAAGTACCTACACAATGATAATTATGATAGTTTTAGTATTTAGTAAATATAGTATATTTAACTGAATTAAGTTAATACCTAATTAGCAAATCAGTTCTTCTAAAAATATGATTACCTATGATTTATGGTAGGTACCTATCTAAATCTACAATCCTACAAATTCAGATAGGATAATATGTAATTATGTATATGCCATATTATATGTAAAAAATAATATTACAATAATAATATGAAACTATATAATATCATTAACATACATAATAATAATTAATAAATAGGTAGTTAATCATTTCATACAAAATAAAGCAGTTATGTATTTTTACTTATGTACCTAGGTAAATATCATAGGTAGGTAATTTTTGTCCAATCCTGTATGAGGTACCTATATAGGTATCCAACATTAATTTTAATTTGCATTAATAATTAAATTCAGTTACTAATTAAACACTTATTAATAATATATTGATTGATATTAAATTAATTATTTTGTTTTCTCACTTATATGTTCATGTCATCATACCTACCTGTTTATTATAAGTTATTATAAACATTAAAATATGTATTATTAATATATCTACATGATAGAGGTAGGTATATTGTTTATTTACAATTTTTATATTATTCATTTTTACTTCTTTATCTAAAAATATTTCCTTTGTTATTATCAAATGTTAAGTTCATACATATTTTTCCAAATATTATCTTAATTATATTTAGAAGGTATACTTAATACTGAAATTCTACCTATGGACCAAATATTATCCCTACACCTATCAAAGACATTGCATGTTTGTTTTTAATATTTTAATGAACTTATTTATAAGACTGATGAATTTAATTTACTTTTATTTATATCAAAAAGTTATAATCTAGTTTTTATCAAAGTGTAGAACCTGCATTTACTAATTATTTTAAGATATATTACTTTTAAAGCATGATGATTGTTAGATTTAATTATTTATTGTAATAAAAGGGCGTTGGGTGTATTAATACAAAATTACAGTTTTTTTATTCAGTAGATAGTTATGTAGAAAACACAAATTAAATTAGTTATTGTGACCAAATTATATCTTTCTTTTTAAGGTTCCGTAATATTTTCATAGATATTTGTAAACCGGTACACAATGATTAGAAGCTACAGACCAAAACGTAGGAGAGTCCAACAGGAACTTGAATTGCTGAACTCTTTACCATCATCGAATAATGATAGTATTCCCATTATTAAGACTGTACTGTCAACATCTGTGCAGCCTAAATTGATTGGATCTGCCCCAAATTCATCACCTAAATTCCATGATACTAGTACAAGTAACAGTATTGCTTATAGTTTTGGAAATGAATCTGTCTCTAATATTGTTAATAATAATTGTTCTGATGAAGAAATATTAAACAATCAATATCTTACTTCTAATACTGCCAATCCCAATTATTCTGGAAACTGTTGTAGTGATAAAAGTGAACTTTCCTTAAAATCATTATTGTCGTCCTGGATAGTTGATTTTAATGTTCCTCACACTACGGCTAATGCACTTTTGCATACTTTAAAAAGCCACCAATGCATAGAATGTCTTAAAGCACTGCCACTTGATACCAGAACATTACTTAATTCATCTTCATCTAAGATTTCTAGTATTAGAACAATTGGATTAGGCAAATACCATCATTTTGGCTTAAAAGAAGGCATCCAAAGACTCTCATTATACGTAGAGTTGGATAATATTTTAAAAGTTGTAGTAGGAGTAGATGGTTTGCCATTAGCAAAAAGCAGCCGTAGCCAATTTTGGCCAATATTAGTGTACATAAAGCCTTATAATCAACATGTCTTTTTAGTTGGACTTTATCATGGACATGAAAAACCTTCTAATAGTAATGACTATCTTAAAGATTTCATAGAAGAAGCAAGAGACCTTGTTATTAATGGTATTGAAATAAACAATTCAATTAAAAAAGTGATGATTTATACGTTTTGTACTGATGCCCCTGCAAAATCGTTTATTTTGAAAACTAAGGGTCATACAGGATTTTACTCTTGCACAAGGTGTACTCAGGATGGAAAATATATCAATAATCAAATGAGTTTTCCATTTAAAGAAGGTGGGTATAAAGAAAGAACTCATGATGATTATGTAAATATGACTCAAGAATTACATCATGTGTCTACCTTATCTGACCTAATCCATGTTCCTGGTATTGACATGGTTAATTCTTTTTCCATGGATTACATGCATTTGGTGTGTTTAGGGGTTGTCAGAAAGTTGATTAACCTTTGGATACACGGACCTTTAAGAACTCGTTTACCCAATTGGAAAATTAAACAGATATCATCTTCATTAATTAATCTTAAATTATATATACCAAATGATTTTGCCAGAAAGCCAAGGGAAATAGAGTTTATTAGTCGATGGAAAGCAACAGAGTTACGCCAATTTTTATTATATACTGATCCAATTGTTTTGAAAAAAATTATTCCTAAAAATATATACGACAATTTTATGGCCTTAAGTATTGCAATGACCTTGTTATTAAGACCTGATAAAATTCATGATAAACTTTTAAGTTACGCTGAAAATCTGCTAGTATATTTTGTTAAAACGTTTCAAAATATTTATGGTGATCATTTAGTCTCACATAATATACATGGGCTTCTACACATTTGTGACGACTATCGTCAGTTTGGACCTCTTGATTTATGTAGTTGTTTTCCCTTTGAAAATTTCATGAAGACTCTAAAATCCATGTTACGTAAACATGAAAAACCATTAGAACAGGTAATTAAAAGGCATGCAGAAAAGTGTAAAAATGAATTATTCAAAACTGAAATTTTACAAGATGTGATTCTGAGGAATGAACATTGCAATGGCCCATTAGTAGAAAATACTTGTGGTCCTCAATATTTAAGAGTTGATATTCAAAATAAAATAAATATAAATACAAAAAAAAAAACAGCCGATAAATATATTCTTACTTCTCGAGGAGAAATTGTACAAGTGGAAAATATTGTGTATTCTAATCTTACTAAAGAACCAGTGATAATTGGATTTATGTTTAAAAATAAACAACAGTTGTATAATAAGCCAATATGTTCAACAAAATTAAATATATTTATATTAAATGACATATCTGACAACCTTTTGTGGTGGAGATTATCTGATGTAACAAAAAAGATGATAGTTTTTAATTTTTATGATCAACTAATTGCTATTCCAATTTTACATACATAGATATTATTAATAATTATTAAGTTAGTCTTAACAATTTAAAATAATCTTAAGTTATATTATATTTTGTAATCTGAAATGTTAAAATTATTCACTAATATCATTTTTATTACTACGTACATAATATTATATTATTACAGTATAATAACTGTACTTTTTTTATTTTTATTTTTTTACATCTACCAATTTTGTTTTTGTTGCAACCATGTCAATAGTATAATCTTTTTTCTTGGTGTATAATTATTATTTATATATACAGGTAATAAAATGTTATTCATCTAAAATTATATTATTTATTTCTAATTGCTCAATAGTCAATACACGATGATTGTTTAATTATCATATTAGTAATTATTATTATTAATATAAATTCCTAGTTCCTCATATATCTACTTGTCATTAAGTATAATGTGTGCCTACTAATTTCTCAGTCAATCATAAATAATGCTAAAATTATAAATTATTTAATTTAAATTAGCTCGTAGATTTTTAGTTTTTATGTTTCTAATTAGCTATAAATTATTATAATATATATCTTGTGATTTCAGAAGCCCTATAATGTGGTCAATTGTTAATTTTGCTAAAGATAATTCAGTTAGTGCAGTCCCAAGTCATTGGTGGAAAAATGGATATTGTGCCTTGCCAAAAAGTTCTGCTAAACATCCATTATTTTTACTTCAAAGAAGAGCAATTCCAAATAAATTTGAATATGATTTTTTTAAAGCAAGAATAATGCATACTAAAAACCCTATTAGTGAGTGCCTTTGACAATGATTTATTAATGTGTACTAAAATTGTTATCTAACATTTTAAATAAATATACTAGGTATTATATATATTTTAATTTTTAGAATACTACATTGATGCTAAAGAAAGAGCAAGAAAAGCCCAATTTACATCAGAATTATCTTCAGATGATGAAAGTTAGACTAACAGACGTTCCAATAAATATAATAATAGATCTATTAGCCCTCCAGTTTTCTCAGGTGTCTAATCTATTTATTTTTTTATTGGTTTCTTATTTATACCTTACATATCTATTCAATGTTTTTATATTATGTGTTTAACATTTTTGTATTTTCTTAGATACTGATGATAAAATTAAAAAGAAAGGTCTTGAAAAAAATCATTATAATAATAGCCACCAGAGTCAATCAAAAGTAAAAAGAACAAATCTATCAAGTTTAATAGTCAAGTTTTATCAGGTACTTCCAGTCTTGAATACATAATAATATTGTGTTACTATTTTTATTATTTCAACATAATTTTTGTACTTATTGGTCAATTGTTATGTTATGAAGATCATGAAAATATGAATAACTGCAGTCAGTCTAAGAGCCAGCCACAAATGAAATCTGATCATCAAGTTTTGTCAGGTATTCAACTTGAAATTGTGTCTGTTCTTTGTTTTTAGGTAATATATATTTTTTTTAATTTTATAGACAATAGTGATGAAATAATGGATAACGAAGACACACGTAGATACCATAAAAAAGCCAAGTTAATGAGAAAAAAAATTATTATTTATATATTTTTTAATTTTTATATCCTTAATTGCTTAATTTTTACTACCTATACCTACGGCTATACCTACTTATATTAATTGACATCAGTCGTCAAATAAATGCATTGCGTTTAAAACGAGTTAATATGATTAAAATTAAATTTTCAAAGTTGAAAATGATGAAAATATTCAAAGCGCTCTGCCCTCCCCCTCTCTAAGTCCAGCTACCAAATACAAACAGTAAATATAATATAATATGATGATACAGTGATATGACTTATCTACTACGGTGGAGGCGGCGATGGTGTTGTCGGGCGGTAGAGATAGTCGGAGTTGGTGGTGGACGACGGGCGACGGCGTTGACCCATATACTGGTATAAAGATAGACCGACGGCGGCTGCGTTGCCACGACCTTCGATGGAGGATGGGATGGGCGGCGTTCGGTGGCGGCGGCGACGGCTCACTGTATAACGCACTGCACCTAGCACTCAATTAGATCGGCGGCGGCTGAGTTTCGCGACCTTACGTAACGTGTACGCCACAACAATGTGAGTACGTACCTACGACGTGCGCGACACAACAATACTCGATATGCACGGTTTGATGGCGATTGACGATTATAACACAAGAGTATAATACGACACGTAATTTAAATTGTAGACCAGCACAATATAACGGTCGGAACACCGGTCAATACCCACAAGGTTCCCACGGACGTCAAAGGCAGCGACGTCCGATGACAAGAGAGACCGGGCAACTGGTTGTAGACACACCGGCGCGCCGGCACAACATGCAAAATAGCCAGCCAGGTCGATACCACGTCGGGTGGGAAGGGGAATACGCAAGCTTAGTCGGCGGCCTACAGGTAAAGTAGCCAACACTGATAGCGGCACGATTGCGACGACTTGCGTAAACACCGGCATTAGTCACCTGGGGCTTTCGTTTACTAAGTACGGTTACTTAGAAAGCCCGGTGGTTCTTGGAATTTATCTCGTCGGGTAGTAAATTTTCCTGGCTTTCCGAATATCTATGTTAAGTCCTTCGAATCCTTCCGGAACACTGCCGGAAAAATCAAAAACCGCGCGCGCGTATACGTTTCGCGTCATACCAGCATTAGTCACCTGGCGCTTTCGTTTACTAAGTACGGTTACTTAGAAAGCCCGGTGGTTCTTGGAATTTATCTCGTCGGGTAGTAAATTTTCCTGGCTTTTCGAATATCTATGTTAAGTCCTTCGACTCCTTCCGGAACACTGCCGGAAAAATCAAAAACTACGCGCGCCTATACGTTACGCGTCATACCTGCATTAGTCACCTGGCGATTTCGTTTACCAAGTACGGTTACTTAGAAATCCCGGTGGTTCTTGGAATTTATCTCGTCAGGTAGTACATTTTCCTGGCTTTCCGAATATCTATATTAGGCCCTTCGACTCCTTCCGGAACACTGCAAGAAAAATCAAAAACCACGCGTGCCTATACGTTACGCGTTATACCGGCATTAGTCCCCTGACGTGCGTATACGTTTTGCGTCATACTGGCATTCATGACAAAATAGATAGGTATGTCAGCAACTTTTTGATACGCATTGTGTTCGCCGACCACTCCACCCCCCGTCTATTAGCTGGTTCGCCTCTTCTCATTGGTGAATATAATATTCTTGGTCGTTTAATGTTATCACGTTTTATCAATAAATATTAAATCACCGTGTGTCCGACGGACACTGACCGTGTACTATAGTCGTGTACTGGTAAATACTAAATTATGGAAATCATTAATAATAAAAATTCAAAATTGGAAAACTATTTTATATATTATATTAATTATTATACTTACTTATTAACAATTAACATAGGTACCTAAATATTACATTATAATATATTTCAATACTTACATTACCTACTTACATCTTATTTAGTAAATTTTTGTTTTTTAAATGTTTCCAATTTTTTAAATTTTTGACTCATAATTTGATTGTTTAAATTATTGAGTCTTATATAAGTTCTTGTTCGTACAAGACATTGCAAAACATCTAAAGGTAACTTTAAATCTTGAGTACTTATTTGTAATTTATCTGTTAATGTTTTAAATATATTAGGAGCTTTTGACAGGTTGTCACCGTGGAGACTTCTGAAATGTATTTCTAATTGTTTCACAGCTCGCATTAAATTGTCAGATGGAATTTTCAATTGACCTCTGGAAATATAATCTGTCCAACAGATTGGTTTGTCTTTATCTGAATGGGCTATCAAATTGGGATATTTATTGAAAAACCGATTAGCTACGTAGCCTGCCACAAATTCTGCACATTCTTTCTCTATGCTATTGAATGGTTCTTCGGTGTCCAACTATAAAAAAATGTACGTATTGCTGTAATTTGTTGTTAGCGTTTTACATTTTTAGCTTATACATACTTCAAATTGTTTTAGTAAATCAAAATCTAATTCTGGGATATCTGTTTCCTTCAAACAAGTATTGTGACTTTCCATCTCAAGCTGGTCATTGCAGATCTCTTTGGACAATTCTAAATTATTGAATAGTTCTGATGTTATACATTCGGAATCATTCAACAACTTTTCTTCATGACCATCTTCCGTATTAGTATTTTCTGAAAATACTAAGTGAGAGTGTTTGCCTAGTATATACCACCTCAAACTAAAAAAAAATTATTGAGTTATAAAAACTACATAGTAATTTTATTACATTTAGATTAAATCCCTACCAGTATTTAAAATCCAATGCAGTAATATTATTGCTTGCACATCCAGCCATTCCTTTTAGAAAACTAAATAAATTTTCCAATATATCCTGGTTCAACTTTCTAGTTATTATATATGTGAGACCATTCATGTTTTTAATATCAATTAATAAATTTTTTAGGGATATATTAGTGACTAAAATTCCTATAAAAATTGTATAATAGCCAATATGTGTAACATAGAAATAACAGTTATCTGTTCTCATAAACCAAAAGCATTTGATACAATTTAAAAATATATAAGTTATTCATAAATATTTTACCCTTTTGAAATGGTAGTAAAGATTTTTTTGATGAACTCTCATGGACTTGATAAAACTGTTCATTTTTTCAAGTAAATCATTTTGATTTGTTTCATCTAGGCCATAACTTTTTACTCCTTTATCAAATTTATGTTGAGTGTTTAGTAAATCAAACCAATCGTTGAATAGCAAAATAATATCTAAAGCCTTTTTTTTAAAACAAACATTTTTTTTGTCAAGCATTATATTAAATGTAATTCCAAGATAATAAAAAAAAACAATTAAACCTTTTTATACTACTTAATTATACATTTATAAAATAAGTATTTACTTCTTTCCAGTTATAATCCTCTAATAACTTTTTTTCTCCGCCATATTCAATTGCTTTGGAAACTGTATATGAAAATAACTGTGCAGCTAATTTTACTTTCATACGACCAGTCCCTTCAACTAATAGGTGTTTGTTCGTGAATTTATGAGCCAATTTAAAATCTTGGCCAGAGTTTAAATTTAACAACTCTTCAAAAACACCTTTTCCAATATATTTTCCATTGGAAAGTACAAAACCTCTGAAATAATTATATTTGTTATAAAATATTGATATTTAATAGATATTAATTTAAAAATTAGTTTTATACTTGTTAATTAAATGATTTCTTGCTAGCTTCAAAAGATGTGGGACATCAGCAAAAACATAGATGTTTTGGTTTGTTATTTTATGCTTAAAGGACGTATTCTCTATAGTTATGTTTAAAGCTTTCCATAATCCAATGTTTGATGAACCCATATCACTAACCATTGTAATGACATTAAACCCAACATTATGCAGCTGCTCAATAATTTGATGTAATAATTCTTGTGTCATTGGGGTATCATATCCATACATAATCGGCTGTTTCCAATTACTTACCAACCCTGTAAATGAATTAGTCTTACATTTATCTACTTAATACATATCTAGTCATAATAACGTTGATAGTAATGTTACTGTATGTACCTCGAGCTATAACTGTTTGTACACATTTATGTGGTCCTATTACTCGTTCATTTTTTTTGTCCAAACAAATTCTACTTGAAATATAGGTTTCATCAAAACAAATTACAGTTAATTTGTCAGCTGTGCTCATAAGATCTCCTTTCATTAAAAATATTTTGTTTTATATATAAATATATTTCAATACTTAAAATACATGGAACAAATTTTACATAATATTATTTTAATTTAAAATACCTTTAGATTTCATCAAAGATAAAACACTAGTCAATATTCCATCATCAATTGGAAATTTTGCTGCCCAAGTTCGTAAAGTAGATAGACCTCAAAATATATTTAGTTCATATAATTGAATTTATTAGGTAATAAATTTATATATTAATATATTAATTACCTGGCAGTGGAAAATTTTTTTTTTCTCTTAAGTAACGATAACATTTTGGCGATATACTCCTTAAAGTAATCGCCGAAGAAATATCTTCTGGGGTCCACTGATATACTTTTTTTTTTGGATGAAGAAGAAGCTGAATTTGAGTTGGTGTAAAGAGTTGTGATAAAATATTACCAAAGCGACTTTCAAAACGAACATCTTCCAAATTAATAAGATCTGTATAATATTTTACCTTGTCCATTTCAAAAGTAATATTTTTTTTTAAAACATTATTTTCTTCCTCAAGTTTCATATTTTTTTCTTTATATTTGTCACATTCTTCTTTTAGTCTAATCATTTTAGGAATACATTTTTATAGTTTACATTATAGTATTACTATTTACGGATTAGAGCATAAATTAATAATAAAAAGTAATAAAATACTTAAATAAATAATTAAAACACTACATATTAATGAGATATTTTTTTTAATAATTAAAACATTACATATAAAACAAACATATAATAGACAATTAGAAAACATGAATTTTATTAACACAAACATTAGAAAAATATGGTAAGCTAAATAGCATGCATACATGTAAGACATTTTTTATTTTTTTTATATAAATTAACAAATAAAAATATACTACCTATACATGGCAATAATTTAATCCAAATACTAAATCCTTATTGTTATTTAATATTCTATAATACCATAATACTGTTAATTATCTAACTACATATCCTATTAACACCATACAAACACCAAAAGCACTTAATAATTTCCTTAATTTCTATTTTTCTTTTAAGTTTGTAAATGTTAGGTTTTTATTTTAATAGTAATTCTTAGGTGGTTATGTAAATTGTTAACTGTAAAATAATAATGAATATGTATTTTTTAATTATCTTAAAATTATAATTTACAATGTATGTATTTAAATGTAATTAATAGTTACTAAACAATAAACTTACTTTATCACAAAAGGTTTTGGAAGACTTAATTATTATTTAAAAAAAAGTATGTACATTACTTTTGATATGATGAACTATTTTCCATTTTATTTTCTAAACTTTGATCTAGTGGTTGAACTTCTAGATCATCAAAAAGGTTAATTTTATATTTTTCTTTGGACCTAACAAAATAAAAATAAACAATATTGTATTATTATTAGGTACTCATGTTTGTATTGTGTATAGTTACTTATGGTCTGCAGAAGCAACAACAGATTCACACAATTTTTCTCTAAAAAGTAAAAATACATAATATTTATATCATAAATTATACTGTTTAGTTGAGTAATTTGGTAATAGATTGTATTTAAATTTATTCGTACACAGAGAATTTTCCAGCTGAGGTGATTATTACTGGCTCATTACAACTTGATCTATTTTTTTGAGGAGTAATAAACTCTTCAAGACACACAATACCATCAATCATGCTATGTATACTTAAATAAATACAAATTATATATTTCAATTTATAAAATAAATTATGTATTTATGTAATTAAGAAATCATAATTTTAAAAAACTTACTTCAAAGGAATAGCATTTGGTTTTAATATTTTTCTACCCTTTATTCCGGAAGATATGACATAACTATCATTTGCAAAATGCAAAGAACAAACAACCGCTAAATATAATTATTTAATGTTTGAATAAATATGGAAGTCAAGTAAGATACTAAAGTAAATATTATTACTAAAAATTATTTGGTTTTACCAGAATTAAAATTTATGGATTTCCTATCTTCATCTGTTTGGCCATATTGGTGTATTTGTTTTACCCAGCAATCCCTTAAAATTGGGTCTTTTGGGAATCGATGTAGCATAATTTTAGGATTTTTCACCAAACTTTTCCTTTTACTACCATTATCACATCCAAAAAACTCACAAACTGGCATTTTTTGTGTGAAAATGTAAATATTATATGTAAATATATAGGAGTATTTTACTTAAATAAACACAATCAACATATAAATCTAGTATAAACAATTAACAACAAATAATTCGTAAATTGATTGTATTTGTTTATATTAAAATATCATAATACATTGATATCGATATCGATGAATAACATAAAAACAAATTACAGTTAAAAAATCAAGAATTTGTTATCAAATATAAATTTTTTAAATAATTTTTTACCAAAAACTACCCACGGGAATCGTTTATTTGCGGCCGGAATTCTTTCGTAGGAATTCCGAAACCTATCATAGGAATTCACTAATTTTAGGAATAAAAAAATACGAGAATAGTGAGATGGGTAGGGCTGGGGACATATACTACAGGTGTGTGTTCCGTTTGAACACAACTGAACGCACGCGTATTACAGGCCGATCAGCAGCCGTGCAACAATAATAATAATGTAGAACCCACAGGCAGCAGGCGTATATCCTTCGGAAGACCGGGCACCGTGTCAAAATACAACAATGATTAATGAAACCGACGAAAACGGCGACACACAGCCTATGGAGGCAAAGCGAATAATATAATTAGGTATATTATTACGGTGACTTGACGATGTGCGTCGCGGAAACGAACACACAAAGTTTCGACGAGCGCAAAGCAACGAGACACAGCATTTCGAATTAAAGGAATCGTTAAAGACTATGGGAATCGCGACACCTCCGATTATTTGCAGGGAATTGCTCATAATTTTCAATTCCAATCTTGTTAAATGTCCAAGATTAGGGTCCCCACTCGTCGTTTTAAAAAATGTCCTTTTTTAGGACATAAAAGGGCTCTTTTCAGAGCTAAAAAATATTTATTATTAAAAAAAACTAGGCAACAACGAGTTACGTATTTTATTTTTAATTATTTAATAACATAATTAATTTTCCAAAATTTTCAGTTTCATATTAGTTAATTTTTATTCTTATATTAGTCCCATAGAAACACATTCGTTTTGTAAAAAAACATACCATCGGCTTATTTACTATCGGCGTAGATACTCGTCGGCATTTTTTCCGTCGGCGTAGATACCGTCGGCGTCGATGCTATCGGCGTAGATACCGTCGGCGTTGATACCGTCGGCGTTGATACCGTCGGCGTAAAGACATGATACCAGCTGCTTTAGCGTTCGCCATTTAGTCTTCATATTCTGATTACTGAATACTTGCTAGTCTGTTTTCATTTTTAAATTTTCAACTGTCATAGTGTCATTAATTGTCTTTATAACTTTTATTATACTAATAACTAGTATTTGACGTCTTTGTTGGGTACCTAATTATTATTTTTATAATAAACACTTATTTTCAATTATGTCGGCCAAAAATGCGTCGAAGTGTGTGGTGAATGATTGTAAATCAAAAGGTATGTACCGATTATAAAGTCGATAGCGTAAAATACACTTAACCATTTAAGACTAATATAATATATATTATAAGAATTTTTGATAATTAACCGATTTTTCTATAGGTACATTTTATTATAATAAAATTATACGATTGTAAAATGCTATTTCATTACTGATGGCCAATTATGAAACCAAATATAATTAGTCAATATCATAGTAAAACTATAGCGTTTTTCTATCTAATCACATTATACAGTATACACTAATAAAATATGTTTTGATATACCTAGGAAGTAGGTTAGGTAGAACTACTTTCATACATTTTAAGTCTTACAGTATTACATTTTTACAGAAAATGGGTATTTCCATTTTTATTCATATAATAATAACAAAAGATATGTTTAATGTTATAGGTATCGAAGATAAGTTTAAATCCAAAGGTATAATATACTGATAAATAATTCCATAGGTATATTTAGTTATTACTCAATATTTTCGTTCAGTATAATCGATTTGTGTTGATATCTATAATATTGGAGTGAATTTACCCATCATAAATTGTATAGCCTAAATGTAAAAATATCTAGGGAATTCTTATAAATTAAAATTCCTTAAAAATTCTCATAAGCTTTTATTAATATAGTAATTATAAAGTGTGTAATAACTTAAATAACTACACACAATATTATAGTTTTAAAATGTTAATATCAATAAAATCTCATTAGATGCCCTAAATCGATTATGCTGAATGAACTTTATATTTTGATATGTTCTACATTTGTAAGACAGTGTCAACAAATTCAGGTTTGGCGTCTTCTTGATATTAATGACTATATTAAATTATATATATATATATATATATGCAAAGGTGGGCATTAACTTGTTAAAAAGTTAATTTTTTTTTAACGTTTTAACTTAACTAGTTAAATATTTTTGTTTTTAACTTATTAACTTATTCAGTTAAAATGTTTATTGTTGTAACTTAACTTTTTATAATTAATTACCATAATAATCTAATTTTTTACACAGTGTTAAATATCTTGGTAAATGTTTGTGTATAACAAAATACTATGATGGTTTATGACTTAAAAATATTGTACCTTCAAAAAAATTAACTTTTTTTTAACTGAGATAAGTTAATTTTATTTTATTTTCTATCTTAACTTTAAACTTATCTAGTTAAATTTTTTCTTTTTTAACTTTTAACTTAACTGAAGGCAATTCAATTGAAATAACTTAACTTTCCACTGTTAATTTTTTCATTAACTTGCCCACCATTGTGTATATGACATAAATGTATAATATGGAATATTAACCAATTAGTTATCTGGTTTTGTACTAGATGTTATTTGTCACCGATTCCCTAATCCAAGAACAGACATGCAAAGATATGCAGGATCGAACTGTGAAGAAGACTTCAAAGAAGGAAGCTTGTCATCATTCAAAATTTTTTTTGAGAGTGCCATTGCTTCAACGTCTGACTTTGAGAACCAAATTGTCATTAGTGCTGATTTGCCTCCAACACTACATAATTTATCAATGACTACTTCTTTTGTTCGAGGACAAGCTCAAAATTACATTGCCGGATTTACAGTAAAAAAATGAAACAAAACTTTCTTTAAAAATTGTCAAACATGCCTCCCTCAGCTTTGTACAGAAAAGGTATCCGAACATCATTCATTAATAACTGCTCGAGAATATCAATCAAATCATCCAACTTTAAAATACCCAACATCTACATTATGTTCTATAGTTCAACAAGTCATAAGTTTTGTCGGAGAAAAAATGTCAAATGTCTGTCTTCATCCTAATATACATTCAACTCTGACTAATGCCTTAAAATTTAATTATGTGCCAGCAAACAAGCCTAAGGGTCTCATGAAAATTAAATTTTAAAATATATATTACTTTTATGTATATATATATACGTAAATTGTATGGCTCATTAAATTAATTAATAAATATTATTTTAAAATTTTCCATCATCGAACTTATTTCATAATATCTTATTTGTGTTATGTGTGAATATATAATAAATTGACATTTGGGGGTACGTAAAGCACTGGTGAGAGGTCAAGAGGTACGTAAATGAAAAAAGGTTGAGAAACGCTGCCTTAAATCAACAATTAATTTTCCCTTTTGAATTAAATTGTTCGGAACACAAAGATCTTTTCCAGCTGAACATAATTAAATTTTAAATTAAAATGATGATACAACATTATTGTACTGAAGTTAATAGAATCCTTCTAGGAAAAAGACAATGAGACTGATCCCGTTCAAAAATTGGCCTACACATGGTATTTAAAGCACTCCAAGACCAGAAAAACTCAGGGAAAGTTTAACTTAATTTAAAGTGTATCATTTTATTTTATTTTAGTGTTAAGATGACTCTCATGTGTTGTCCGTTACAGCTATGTTAACTGTTTGTAAGAATGTTTGTATGTTAATTGTTTGTTATTATCTATATAGAAACATTAGTTCCTCAAATTGTTAATAAAAATCGCATAATTTTGTTACATTTAATAACAAACATACAAAAAACATTATTTAATAAATAATGTTTATTTGTTTATTTTGTTTGTTAATAAATATAAATTTTAAATTTATTCTTTACCTTATATTCATTTATGTAATACCCTTATTTATTAAATTACAATATGAATATTAATGTCGACATAGGCCCATAATAAATCGATTATTATTTTATCGATAATTGTCAAAAAGGCCAATGTCAAATCTAATTTGTTCATACAGCATAAGAGACATTGGCCCTTTTAACACAAGTAACATATAAGCAGATTTAAAGAAATTGGTCAAATAATCTCAATTTTTTCAAAATGTGACATTGGCCCTTCTTGCACCAAGCCACAGATATAATATATAATATATTTAATGTTACATTACTTCTTATTGTTATTTTATATTTATACTAAATAATTTGTATACAACTATACAATTGTTTGTTTGATAACTGTTTAATAAAAAAATGATCTCTTTTAAGAAAATAATTTTTTTTTTTTTTTTACTAAATTCCTTACCTACAATTTTATTTCTAGACAAAATCATCGATAGTAATGGTAGTTAATAATCGATTGTTGATTATCGATAAGCTATATAATCGATATGACAATATCTATCGATGGTAGCGCTGTTTTAGTTTTACAACCACCGGGAGCACTGTTAAACGGTTCGTTTTTATAACATGGGAGTTGCCTATCTATTCTATATACCTAGTCGTCGGTGAACTAATTAGGTCAGGCGATTACTGGGTCTACAGTGTACGCTCGTTATCGGCGATAGCATACTAGACGGGCGGAGGAGATGGCACGACCGGTTCAAAGACGCATTGGCTGGACAATGACTGCGGCGCTCGAACACCCAAAATTATTAACAACTTTGTATGATAAGAAAAAATATACAATACATTATGAAACACTAAAATTATATATTAATTTAGGTTTAAAGATAGAGAAAATTCATAGAGTGTTAGAATTTAGTCAATCTCCTTGGTTAAAAGTGTATATTGATTTTAATACTAATTTTAGATCAGAAGCTAAGAACGAGTTTGAAAAAGAATATTTTAAATTAATGAATAATAGTGTTTATGGACGTACTATGATGAATGAGAAATTAATTGCAAAACCAAATTTTGATCGAAGGACAATTATTACAGAAAATTTAGCTGCAGTACATATGAAAAGAACAAAAATATTTTTCAAACAACCAATATATATGTGTGTTTTAGATTTATCTAAAATGTTAATGTATGATTTTTATTATAATATTATAAAGAAAAAATATTTAAATAGAGTTAGATTGTTATATACAGATACAGACTCACTAATATTAGATATGAAAACTATGTTAGATCATTTTGACACTTCAGATTATCCAAAAGATAATTGTTCGGTACTTCGAGGATAATGTGGACTGTATTAGGGTTTAGGTATTTACTAATAATAATAATAATAAGTCTGATTTTCTTTTGCCGTGGTTAACGGACTACTATTCGGAAAAAAAGTAACAAAATTAATAATAGTTGGGGCACAAGGAGTGCTGGCCAGCGAAAGGGGTAACTTAACGATAAAATACACAATTACAATAAAATATACAAATAGGTATAAAAACCGTATGGGCGACAGCGAGCTCTTCGCTTGACTGTTGACAGTAGTAACGACGGTGACAGTGGTACGGTGGTATCGGTGGTTAGGTAGACGGTAGTAATCCAGGTGACGGTGGTATCGACGGTGACAGTGGTAATCCAGGTGACGGTGGTATCTGTGGCGGTGGTATCGGTGGTTCGGACGATCGCACTCGTTACACACTCGGTCGAACGCGGAGCCGTGACTGGCTCGCTGCACACACGTACATATTTCGGTTGATAATACGGACGGCACTAGGCTCGTCCTATCGCTTATCAAACATACCGCCCACCTTGAAGACCCGGTCTTCAATCAGAGAGGGGTAAAGGACACAGTTTCACTGAGGGCCGAGTGTAGATTTTTCCCGTTGACAGCTTTACTTTTGCCATTTGGACGATCCCATCAGCTCCTGGATGAACTTCGACCACTCGGGCTGTGGGCCATGTCAGAGGGGCACTTGGTTCGTTCACTAATACCAGGTCTCCCACTTGGAGGTTGCGATTAGGACGGGTCCATTTTGATCTCTCATGCAGGGATAGTATGTATTCTTTCTGCCACCGGATCCAAAAATGTTGGTGAATTTGTTGAATTAATGACCAGCGTTTACTCTTACTTATCCTGCTAAGTTCATCTGGATCGTGGGGTGCAGGAACGGATACCAATGGGGCCATAGTTAGAAAGTGTCCTGCCGTGAGGGCTTGGAAATCATTCGGGTCGGACGACATGGAACTAAGAGGGCGAGAATTGAGGGTTGACTCGACTCGATGCAGTACGGTATTAAGTTCTTCATACGTCAGGACCCTGTCTTGAATAATTCGTAATAAAAGGGTTTTGGTTGATTTTACTGCAGCCTCCCATAAACCACCCATGTGAGGGGCGGCTGGAGGGTCGAAGTGCCAACGGATTTGATTATCCACCGCATTTTCAACACAGCGAGGTCCTTTCAGTATGGAGTATACTTCTTGTAGATATCGGTTCGTTCCTATGAAATTCGTTCCACAATCGCTATAAATGTCTGTGCATCTCCCTCTTCGTCCAATAAACCGATCAAGTGCAGCTATAAACAATGGAGTCGATAAGTCGGAAACTAGTTCAATGTGAACGGCTGTTGTTACCATACATACAAAAATACAGATGTACGCCTTTGTGACCTTTATTTTGCGAATCATTGCTGCTTTTACCTGGAAGGGTCCAGCAAAATCTACTCCGGTTCTACAAAATGGCTTGATTTGGGAAATACGAAACGACGGTAGGTTTCCCATAATAGGTGGGGCCAGGCGAGGTTTTGCGCGGAAACACGGTATGCATCGATGAATTCTTTGTTTGATGACACTTCGTGATGAAAGGATCCAGTAATTTTGACGTAGTAAATACTGTACCGTCTGTGGTCCTGGATGTCCGTTTTTCCGGTGGGTAGAGTCGATTAGGAGTTCAGTTAATCGCGCAGACTTTGGCAACAATAAGGGATGTTTTTCATTGTAAGGAATTTCGGCATATCCTAAACGACCGCCCACCCTCAGCAAGTGGTCGTCATCCAGAAACGGTGTTAATTTTCTTAAATGCCTCCGAGCTGGTTTTCCCATGGAGAGGTCTTTTTTCTCGTCGGAAAAATATACGTCTTGAGTCCAGCGTACTAATGATCGAAGTGCTCTGTCCGTTTCGTCGGTGGTAGGTGGAGAAGTGCTCGGTAAGAACGGTTTTTTTCTAAGACGATCTCGAAATCTTAACCAATAGACGGTGAGTCTTAACACTTTTGGTAAGTTGTCTGATTGGTAAAGAAGCCGGCAGTCTTCCTCCTTTCCTTGGGACAAAAGCGTAATAGGTTTTTCTTCATTTTCTTCCTCTGAACAACTAATAGGACTCAACGTACTCTCCACAGGCCATTCTCTTTCAGGTTGTCGGAGAAACGGAGGACCACACCACCATATGTCGTGGTTGGCTAAAAGGTCGGGTCTGAGCCCACGGGATGCGCAGTCCGTTGGGTTGTCATTGGTTGGTACGTGGCGCCAATATTCTACATGAGTCTGTTCTTGAATTTTGGATACTCGGTTTGCTACGAATGTTTTCAGTCGTGAGGTCGAACTTTTTATCCAATGTAGCGTTACCATGGAGTCAGACCATGCGGTAACCTTTTCTATATTGATTGCGGACAAGTTATCTTTCGCAAACGCAAGAAGACGAGCTAATAACCAAGCACCACATAACTCTAGTCTCGGAACAGATATCTTCTTAGCCGGTGCTATCTTAGATTTTCCCATCAAGAGATGACACCTTACTTCTGTGCCAGTATCAATTCTTAGGTACACGGCAGCCGCATACGCTACTTCAGAGGCATCACTAAACCCGTGTAACTCGTATGTAGCATTCGGATGGGTAACCATGCGAGGAATTTGCAGGGTAGCTAGAACGGGTAACTCTCGGTGGTATTGGGTCCAAGAGGTCATTGCTTCTTCCGGTATTGTTTCATCCCAATTTACTCCAACCAACCAGAGGTATTTCATTAGTCTTTTTAAATCCATTGTAACAGGAGTGAGAAGGCCTAGAGGATCATAGATACGCGCGATTTCTGATAGTATTACTCTTTTGCTGAATTTTACTGGACAGGGTTGATATTGGTAGCTGAGTGAGTCCACTTTCGGGTCCCACTTTAAACCGAGAACTTTTGTACAGCCGGAATCCCGTTCTTCGAAAGTAATTGGCAGTACTTGTCGGTGTTCTAGCGGAATATGGGTTAACAGTTGCTCAGAGTTGCTTGACCATTTTCGCAGTTCGAACTTACCCTTTTTGAATAATGTGATTAGGTTTTGTGTCAATTCGAGCGCTTCGTTTAGAGTACTTGTACCTGTGACTATGTCATCGACATAAAGATCCCGATGAACGATAGCCTTTAATGTTTCATCGTTAGACGCTTCATCGTCGACCAGTTTATGTAGCGTACGAATCGCAATAAATGGAGAAAATTTTTGACCAAAAGTAACTCTATTCATTTCATATTCCTGCACAGGCTCCTCTGGGTTGAATCTATATAACAATCGCTGATAGGGACGATGCTTTTCAGTTACAACTATTTGACGAAACATCTTTTTTATATCTGCCGTAAACACAATGGGATGTAGACGAAACCGCAAAATTATCCCTGGTAGGTCTTGTTGGAGCTTCTTTCCGCAATAGAGGTTATCGTTCAATGACATCCCAGAAGATGTTTTTGCCGATGCATCGAAAACAATTCGCATTTTTGTGGTTGTGCTTTCAGGCCGTATAACTACATGATGTGGAATGTAATAAGTGTTGTGTTCATTTGTAAGGGTTTGATTTAATTTGGTCATATGGGTGGTATCTAGGTAATCCCTCATTTCTTTGTTATACTCCTCACGCAAAACACGATTTTTTGCAAATCGGTTTTCTAAATGATATAAACGGTTCAAGGCTTGATCTTTTGACTGTCCAAGTTGTGGAGGGGTTTTCAGGAACGGTAAATGGACTACGTACCTACCGTCTGGTTGACGCGTTGTGGTTGACTGGTAGATTCGCTCACACTCTAAATCCGCTGGGCAACTTTTTTCGACATTTGGAACTTCTTCCACTTCAAAAAAGCGTTTTAAGGTTTGGTTAACGGATTCTAGTGTTGAACACATTGTGACAATCTTATTTTTCGTAGCGCATAAGGTTCTTCCCATTAATACCCATCCAAAAACTGTAGATAAAGCTGTTGGTTGACCGGTGTTGCCAACTCTTTTATCTCCTAAAATGAGTTGTGGGAACACATCTGCTCCTAGTAGAATGTCGACGGGTAGTGGTTTCTCGTAGTCAGGGTCTGCTAAATTTAACCCAACTGTATGTGGCCAAGGTTCCGTGAAAACGCGTTCTGATGGTATAGGACCGGTTATGCGGGGTAATATTAAAGCGTTAACATTAAATTGGGGATTTTCGAGACCTACTGGCCGTACGTTAATGGTGGTACTTCCTTTTACGACTGGAACCTGGGTACCGGCCAGAGCTTGTACCACAATATCTCGATTTTCTCGCTGAAGTCCCAACAGATGTACACAGCGTTCGGTCACGAAACTGCTTTGGCTAGCACTATCTAATAAAGCTCTTACGTTAACAGAGTACCCATGTGTGGTTTGCACAACCACGATAGCCGTTGCCAAAAGAACTGATGTACGAACACTGTTTGTTGCGGTAGCTGCGAACGTCACGGGCTCTGCAATAACGGTTTTTTCGGTGTTTGAAAGATGTAGCATAGTGTGGTGCTTCCCCCCACAATCTTTACAAGTTTTCGGGTTTTTGCAGTCTACCACTCTATGTGCACTGAAGCATCGGAAACACCTGTTCAACTCTTTTATGATTGTATGACGTTCGAAACTGGTGTATTCAATCGGATTTCCGTTAAATATAGGAATAGATAGTTTTTCTACAGGGAAATAAGCACTTGTGGTGGCGGTAGGTTTTTGTTCCATAAACGTTTTATTCAGTGATGCTTCGGCGGTGGCTTCAGGCAGATATTCGTCGGCAAATATTTTACTACCTACATACTTGTCCTCAAACTCCGTTCGTAATTTTTCCGTGTCAACCAACTCTCCTACTACTCCTCCTTTACATTGACTTCGGATGATAACCGTCAACTGTGCTTCAAAATCAGAACATAAATTTTCTAATGTTGCGTACATGATTTTGAACTTAGTGTGTGCCATCTTATTGTTAGGTACTTTTCCCACTGCCTCTCCCGCGTCATACACCCTTTGTATTTTACACTGAATACCCGCCAATCTTTCCTTTGCTTCTTCGAGGACGCCCATGGTCCTGTTGGTTTGCGGTTTTTACGTAAATAATTTATGTTAAAAACGTAAGAAATTGCGATTATTATAATGCGCGTAAACCTTTTTACCGCGGTTGGTGGTGAGGATCGACGTTGCCTTCGCGGGTCGGGGTTTGAATATTTTTACGACGCGCGATCGTTCATGAGTAATGACTTATAATAATATTATGCACTAATACGGATCGGCTGGTGCTTAGGTAGTGGTGTGCCTTTTCGTCGGTATCGGTCCGTAGATTGTTGACTAATTACAATTTTTATTTTAGTCTGGGTGGTTCAAAGTCCAACTCGCGGCTGATTCGAACGGACGACACTATAATAATAAACCTATTATATAACTGACCTACCTAAATCAAATCTTTTTTTTTTTTTATGCACAGCAAGTTACACTACAATTTTGATTCAACCTCTTAAGACAATAAATAATATTATATTATCCTAGGCTCGATGGACCATTATGTTCGGTACTTCGAGGATAATGTGGACTGTATTAGGGTTTAGGTATTTACTAATAATAATAATAATAAGTCTGATTTTCTTTTGCCGTGGTTAACGGACTACTATTCGGAAAAAAAGTAACAAAATTAATAATAGTTGGGGCACAAGGAGTGCTGGCCAGCGAAAGGGGTAACTTAACGATAAAATACACAATTACAATAAAATATACAAATAGGTATAAAAACCGTATGGGCGACAGCGAGCTCTTCGCTTGACTGTTGACAGTAGTAACGACGGTGACAGTGGTACGGTGGTATCGGTGGTTAGGTAGACGGTAGTAATCCAGGTGACAGTGGTATCGGTGGTGACAGTGGTATCGGTGGTTCGGACGATCGCACTCGGTACACACTCGGTCGAACGCGGAGCCGTGACAGGCTCGCTGCACACACGTACATATTTCGGTTGATAATACGGACGGCACTAGGCTCGTCCTATCGCTTATCAAACAATAATATTTATGGTTTACCTTTAGTTAACAAAAAAGTTTTAGGCAAGTTTAAAGATGAATTGAACGGATAAATAATGACATCATTTATAGGGTTAAAATCTAAATTATATTCACATCGAATCTTAGATACAAAAAAATAAATTTAAATAGGTGGGGAAGTGGGTGTCGCTCTGCTGTACAGTAGGTTACAAGTGGGTCACTGTATAATGGTTGATATTAAATTTGAATTCAACGATATAATATCATTGTATAAGAAAAAACGATTCTGAGTGGAGACGGTATGTCAGTCTAGGTATAAGACTTAATATTATATACATATCTATGATATTAAATTAAAAATTGAGCTATAATAAATTCCAAATTAATCATATCACGATATCCATTAGGTACTTATAACGCGTTATACATCATCAAAAACCGTGATACTATCATAGATATATAAAAGTACACTTTAGAAGTTTCAAATAACCACGAATAATATTATTCAATCACAACAAAATAACTAAAATAGTTATTCTAGGTGATTTAATATGTAATTTCGTCCAAATTTGAATTTAAAATGTCTATAAAAATAACTGTGTTCATATATTTTTTAGATTTTTTGGTTGCAGTATGAACTATTTATGAGAACCTTTGTTTTAAATTTGCAATCTTTAGCTATAAAAACTGAACATTTTATAATTTAATAATTACAATGATTGATAATTTTCTAGATTTTGATAAATTTTGTCAAAATTCGATCTTTAAATGCTTATAAAAAAAAAATTGTGCCTTTCAATTTTTAATATTTTTCAATTGCCATTGTAACAATATATCAGGAGCCTTGTATTACATTTTTACACTTTTTGGCCCAACAGATAAAACTTAATTGATATTTATAGAAAAAAAAAAGTAAAAAAATTGAAAACTGAAAATGTCCGTGAACAGCTCAAAAATAGTCAAAATATTTTCAAAATTGTACAGTGTATAGGAAATGCTAATATTAACATTCAGTGAAATTTTCATGTATCTACAGTTATTCGTTTTTGAATTACAACAAAATAAGGAAATCGCTATAATGAGAAATCGAGTGAATATCCAATGCTGTAAAAATTTGAATTTCAAACGCTCATAAAAATTTAATTTGACTTTCTTATAGACATTTTTTTTTGATAAAGGTAGATAATCTTATAAGGAATCTTGTATTACATTTTCAAATCTTAGATTTAAAAAGAAAAATTTTTACGAATTCTTAACTCAAAATAATTTGCTAATTTTCGTGATTTTTCCATATTTTGTCAATTTTTGACTTTAAATGCTTATAAAAAAAAATTGTGACTAAGGATTTTTAATATTTTTCATCTGCCTTTGAAACAATATACTAGGAGCTTTCTATTAAATTTTCAAGCTTTCGCAAACAACAAATAAAAATTATATTGATATTTTTAGAAAAAAAACTAAAAAAAAATGGAAAATGAAAATGTCCCTAAACAGTTCAAAATAAATCAAAATATTTGAAAATGTTATCGTGTATAGAAAATACAAATATAAACAACCTATAAAAAAATCATGTATCTACGGTCATTTTTTTCAAAGTTACACCAAAAACCAAATTAAATTTTGTGAAAAATCGATTTTGCGTAAAAATTCCAGTTTTTCCTTAATTTATCTTTGGTTTTCTTGTCGCTTTTGAAAATTACTGGTAATTTTGAATTTTGATCTCCTCAGTGCATCAACGATATTCACTTTCCAATCGAACAAGATACTGAAGTTGAAAATCGAAGCATTATTTCGACTACTTATCGTGTACACAGACACAAAAAAATAAAAAAAACACACATCATTGTAAAATCGATATATTATATTCATCGTTCCACTCAGAATCTAATAAATGAAATTTGCCTTCATCAATATCAGTTTTACTAGTAAAGTTGTGTGGAACTATACAGTTCAGTACCGTCACGCGCATGCAGAATGACCAGGGATGCCAACTCATTTTTTTTAAATATCACTTGTATTGATTTCAAAATTTCCCTATATTTCCCCGACTGATAAGCCCACCCCTCCAAAAAAAAAAAAATGAATTTTTCCCAGTTAATACCTTCATCATTATATTTTAGTTATGACTTAATACTAAAATATAGGTCAGCCAACTGATTTTACCGAATAATGCATTGAATAGAATAGTGAATACAACTATAAAAAATAACCAAACCAGCCATACACATTAAGAAATTCCCTACCATCAAATTCATATTTATACAGAGTTGAGATGTTTAAATCAAAATATTTTAAACATCTAAATTAATCAAACACTTTTTTTTTTATAACGATTGATATTTGATAGTTGAAAACAGTTATTTAAAATTATTAGCATATAACTTATAAGTTAATATGTACCAATTGGCACTCATATTAATCAATATTTTTGTAACAGTAACAACAAAAATAATAATTTTTTAAAGTTTAATAAAGAAATTTTCTGCTGTAGGTTATATAATATTATATACTAAATAGTTTATTAAACATTCTAATGATGATGTAATATGTATCGAAATCATACATAATATCCAATATCTATAATAATAAAAACATTATATACCAGTTCATAATTCATATATTTTAATTAAGAAATAAATAAACAACTTTTTTAACAATTTATTTTTTGAATATTCAACATAATATATTTAATAATAATATACCATAATATTCTCTTATGAAATTATAAAAACAACTTTTTTAAAAATTTATTTTTTGAATATTCAACATAATATATTTAATAATAACATATCACAATATTAAGTAACTTTTAAACCTCAGTCAGTTTCTCTATATACAAACATTATTTATAACGATTTATTTTTATATTAATATTTTAATATATATTTAATTATAAATTATAAACATATTATGTATCTTTTGAACCTCAGTCAATACTTAAAAACTAAATTAATAAGAACTTATTCTTTAAAATTATACATTTTTTGATTAAATAAATGAATGTAATTGTCATCAAAATCATAAGAGTAGCATTCCGAATCTTTAAATGCTATTTTAGTTTGTAACAGTCCGATCAAATTTTCTGCATTCAAACGATTGCGATCTTTAGTTTTGATGGTGTTTACCATCGAAAAAATGCTTTCAACGGAAGCACTGGAATGTGGAAGTGTCATCATATGTGTCACTAACATAGTTAATGCAGGACATAAATGTCATTTACAGATAAATATAAGCTAGGATTGTTATAATTAATTTCATGATATTTTTTGTTCCTTATGTATTCCTTCTTAATAAAGCAGTTTAATATTTCTTTGTAAATTGTACCAATTCTGTCAAAATCGACATGAATTTTTACAGTTTCTGATTGCATTTCCAAATTTAAATCTACAAAGAAAGGCAATGCAAACGATAAAAATTGTAAGTATATAAGCGTGAATGGAAACTCAATAGATTGCAGTACCTATTAACGTAGCAGTCCCAATTTTGTCTTCTCTAGTAGCTTGTAGAAAATACTTTCTTAAAGCAGGAAAATGAAGAATTAGCCTGTTAAAAACTGCCAACATAGATAGCCAGCGGGCTTGAGCGGGATGAAGCATTTAATGTGGCTTTAATTTCTATTTTTCTTGAAAATCCTTTAATTCACATACACGTTTAGGGCTATTACTGATGTAATTATAAACATATCTAGTAAAATCTTCGACATAAGTTGGTAATTTCAAGCAAGCGTAAGAAGCACACAAATGAAAAGAGTGACAAATGCATTTCAAAACAAATAAGCCGGGTATATCATTTGTTAATCTAGTTTTAAGTGAATTATTTGAACCCATCATGTTATTGGCACCGTCTCCAGCATAGCCAATCATATTATCCTTATAAGGATTTTAGTTTTGCAAAAAAAATCTACAGTATGATTATATAACGATTCTGAGGTTGCATCGCGTATCTAAATAAGTGTAACAAATTTGTATCTTACCATTAACTTTTTGTCACCAAGTTTAAAAATTCGTGCGACCATTGCCAAGTGCTTCAGTGTTGCTCTGTCTGTACTTTCATCCAAAATTATTGAAAATTTATTTTGCCTAAGATCTTCAATTAAACTTAAGCTGCTAGTGATCCCAATAACATTGGTAACCAATGATGTTCATTTTGTTCTGCTACATTTCAACTGTTTCGCAATTTGTGAATCGGAACATACAGTTTGAATCAACTTCGGCAAATGATTCATAACTGTGAATGGCAAATTGTGTTCTGCTATAAATGCAGCCATATGTAGTTCACCGAGTTTAACCTGTAATAATTATTATTTACAGAATTTTATTTTAAAATATATAGAATAAATTAAAATTAAAGTATTACCGATTTAACAAGTTGTGCGCGTTTTGAAACTGATGGTAGGCTTATCAAGGATTGTTGACATCCATCTACAACACGGTTATGTTTAAGTCCGGCTGCGTGCTTTTTTATTTCCGACTTCCCCGCAACTCCGTCAAATCCACAAGCAATACAATGGAAATGAAATTCACCTAATTACAATCGATCATATTTTAAAATTATTAATAATAACTTAAGTTCGTACAAAAAAACATACCTTTCTTGCTCTTGGCTAACCACCCTTTGAAGCATGTTTCGTTTTCCCAATCCTTACAGTATTTTTGACGATAACAGTTTCTATTTTTTTTTTCTTGACATTTTATACTCGTACTCATTACCGTCACTTGACATTTTTGACGCGTCGTCAAGGTAACACGTCAATACGTAGTTATACCTATTGTACAATTTTTGGAAGATATGACAGTTAATACGGATGGAAATATACTTTCTAAATGTAACGGACTTCTTCATTCAATATTGAATTTTTTTTGGCCTTAGAAGTAGCAGTAGAAATATTATCTTTGACTTTGCCAATATCACGTAAATTACAAGACCCTGGTTTGGATTTGACTAAATTTATTGAAATCATGCAGACTGTATTAGATGTTCTTAAAAACAAAAGACAAAATGCAACATTTAATAACATTTATAATTGAGCCGTATCAAAAGTCGACAATTTAAATATTGAAGTTAAAACGACAAATAAATCGATCAAACAACATTACTTCAAGTCCTGAAGAATATTTTAATATTACTTTATACTTCACAGTTTTGGACAATTTCATAACATCTATTCAATCCATGTTTTTTGACAACCAAAATCCAATATTATTTAAAATCCCACAAATGATACCTTATTATTTACACAATAAATCTGAAGAACATATTATAGAAGGTGCCAATTTTTATGAAGCAGATTTGCCTGGATACATAGACGAATTAAAAGGTAAAAACAATTATTATAATAAATCACTATTACATTTTTGAAATAAATTATAAATGCATTATTACAATTATTTACAGGTGAAATTGCATTGTGGCAGCTTCATTGGACTCAACAACCAGTAAAATAGGAAAAATAAATACAGCAATAGACGCATTCAAAGAAACTGAAGATTGGTATTTTCCAAACTTTCGTCAACTTTTACTAATTTTAACAATATTACTAGTAACAAAATCGACAAGTGACCTGTCTTTCTCAACGCTAAAACGCATAAAAACATACTTGAGAACAACAATGGGGGAAAACCTTTTAAACGGGTTAGCTTTGCTTAATATCCATAAACAAATTGATGTAAAACCTGAAGAAGTGTTAGATATGTTTTTAAAATCTAATCCTAGGAAATTACAATTATCTTTATCGTTATAAATTTTTTACAATATTATTATAATTTAAATATAATCTTTAACAAATAAAAAAAATACACATTAAAAATTATTGTCTATTTGTTTATATTTGTTAATTCGTGAAAAAATTTAAGATTTTTGTTTTAGACAATGCCGAATTCCGAATCCTCGTAAATGTTTAGAGATGGAAAATAATTTGCTGACAATACAGTTGAATTTCCAGTAAAACTTAATGTAATAGATTCATGCATTGTAAAAATTCAAGACATAAATGACCACAGTTAAATGTATTGAAGTCTTGATAGTTGGAATAGTTGTATACTATTTTGAACTGTCTGAAATAATGTTGTTATTCAATTGGTGGTGACAAATCACCAAAGCTATCAAAATATACAACTTCGTCCTTATTTTTATAAAACGCTACCCAATGGCTTCCGTCGTCTGAAGATACATCCAAGTTTAATATACTACATTCAATCGTATGCGGTTTTTTAGGTAAGTTTTAACGTGAAAAGACTCCACGGAAATGATTGATTTTCAACTTTCCAACATATTTTATAATATCTTGAGACGAAAGCGGTCTGTCAGGTAGCGTGATCATCAATTTTTTTTTCTTAACCTATTCTTGTTTAATTTCAAACCACTACCTTTTTTTCTTTTTGAATTTTGAACCACATTATACACACTAGCACCTCCAGACATCAAACTACCAAGTGCTGACAATCCCGCAAATATAGGTATTAAGGGAATTACACTTCCTGGCTGCATCGGTGCTAAAATCAGTCTTTTACCACCATTCTTTTTCTTTGAGATTCTTTTTTTCTTCGTTGCTAGTATACCATTTGTTTTTATAGCACGTTTCCGTTTACAACCCATACCTATTTTTCTTTTAAGTTTCATCGCGTTTGTTACTGCGTACGCAACTAATTTCTCTTTTCTAGGTGTATCTTTTGCTTTAAATCTTTCCCAAGCACGATTTTCTAACACTTTATCAGCTTTATGTCTATCGTCTAAATTTTTACTCGTTGCATACACAATATCGTGATCACGACAAGCAGCATCCAATGGCTTTATTCCTTTATTGCCACGATCTAGTCTCTTTTTTAATTTCGTGCCAGGACCACAATACTGATAGCCTGAAACATTGGCTTCGAACAGGAGACTATTTATAAGGGAGTTTACAAATACTTTTCCAGTCTTCACTGACTTACACTTGCGAGTTGAACGCGTCATCTATAACTGGCTATAAATTGGAAAATTCTGGAGTATTTATAAGAAAATAATATGGATTCACAAAGTGTTGGTAATACTGGTGTGAATAATGAAATAATATCTATTTTAGAAGAACTACGTGAGAGAAATATTATAGTATAATGACTACCTTAGAGAGTATAGCTAATGAGTTACATCGGCCAGCGAGAAAAATATTTCCTAGACGCAGTGTAGTAAAGTGGTTATTGATGACCTCTGGCAAGCTGATTTAATGGACATGCAATCTCATTGTAGAGATAATTATGGTTTTAAGTATATTTTAGTTGTCATAGATACATATAGTAAGTACGTATGGCTTGGGCGTTGAAAAAAAAAACATCGAAAGAATGTACAAAGGTATGTGTTACGACACATCATAATTACATTATCGTCCGCGTCGCAGCGACCAAAGGTCCACGACTGAACCCCCGCAAGCTCCGCGTGCCCGTGCGGAAATCGATGCTATCTGCTTTCCTCTCCGAGCAATGCGCCATTAAAATTATTACTCCTATCTACTATTCCTTCCTATTATCATTATTTAAATTAATTATTATGTACAATTGATATCGTTGTTAATGATATCAATTTCACTATTGTTTTTTGCCGTATCATTCGGATCATTGTTGTCGTACACTCGTACCTACTCGTTCGTTCGTCTCGTCGTATATTATATACACGAGACGTTATATTCTTCCTGTACCATTAAACTTAATAAAATCTTTGTTCACGCCATTGCGGCTACTTCAAATCATCTACATTTTTTTGTTATTAAATCATCGCCCGTCGTTGACATTGCGTCAACGTCAAACTACAACATATTGGCACATTTCGTGCTGGTCATTGGCAAGCGCAGTCGATCGAGTAAGTAGGTACATCACACATATTATTACGTCGTTCCTGCCAGTACCATCCTTGACTCCGTTGTACCACTTCCTTCCATTCGCTCCTCGTATTGTCTGCCGCCGCGAGGGTTCGTCACGGGCATCTTAAATTGCCTATGCATCAAAATTATAGGCGCCCACTAGGTTGCCTATGCACTGAATCCAGGGGCACATTAAGTTGCCTATACATTGTACATATAGGGGCATTTTACAATTCCGAAAGTCTCATCGTCGACTGAGGTCGACTGGTCCTTCACCGAACACCCTCCATCTTCTCAGACAGTATGTTTAATATATTGAAATAAACTCATCCGAAATTATTACAGACAGATAATGGTACAGAAATTTACAATGCTCAATTTCAAGATTTAATGAAGAAATATAAAATTAAACATTACAGTTCATACAGTGTTATTAAATGTGCAATCGCGGAACGCGTGATTCAAAGTCTTAAAAAATAATATATATAGACATTTTAATGCTACTGGTACATGGAATTGGTATAATACACTATCAAAAATTACACAAAATATAGAACAATCAAATGTACACCGAATGAAGCTCGAATGGATACAAACAAAATTTAATACATAAATAAATGATACATTATATAATCCAAAATTTAAAGTTAATGACAAAGTAAGAATATCTAAGTATAAACATATATTTAGTAAAGGATATAATTACAATAATATAATTGGACAACGGAAATATTTACAGTTTCAAAAGTTTTACAGACAAATCCAGTAACTTATCAACTAAAGGATGAATCAGACAAAATAATCTTAGGTGGTTTTTATGAACAGGAAATTAAATTAACTGATTTTCCAAACAACTTTCTCATTGAACGTATTGTAAAAAAGTTGGGAATAAAATGCTTGTTAAATGGTTAGGTTTTGATTCAAGTCAAAATTCATGGATAACATCGTCAGATATTTTGAAATAAAGATTTTTTTTATGCATAATATGTAATACTTTAATAATAAAAGTCAGAAAAAAAAGTTGAATTAAATATTTGTTTTTTAGTTTGTAATTTCTTTATCCCAACAGCTATTTTTTTTAATTTTTTTTTTTTTAAAAATAAATTTTTATACACTACCGTTAGATAGCTTTTGTTTATATCAATTGCGGATTTATCAATTCTTTTTTCCTTCATTATATAATTTATCCAGTTTATAGGGACCATAAGCTAAAGTATTTATCCCGTCATCATTTATATGACGTTTATCGTCATTAGCGCTTAAAACAAGTTTGTTCATTGTGTTCGATTGAACAACATTTTTGTTTGATTGGATAAAATTCATGGTTCTACGAGTTAATTTATCCTTAACAGATAAATGGTTTATAAAAGCGTTTAGTATATCCTTATAATTATCGAATTGCATAAGTTTTTTAATAATATATTTCTTTACACCTTTTGCTTTTTTTTCCTCAGTACCGTCTACAGTTTTGTATGCATATAATTTTGGTCTTAATGATACGAATTCTTTATGTATTACTCCCTTCAATTCATCCTTGAAAAAGCCTGGTTGACTTTTATGTAATTCGCTAAAACAATAATGGTCTTTAGGGTAATTAGATGTATCAAAATATGGTAATAAATCATTATTTAAATCATTGAAAAATTTGGTAGTTTGAATAGCGTATATCAAGGAATCAGTATCCGAATATAAAGATCTAAATTCAATAAATTCGAGTGATGGGCCTATGGCATTATTATGACCATATGAAAAAAGTTTGCGAAAATGAAATAAGAACGATGGCCTAAAGTGTAAGGTTTAAAGCCGTGTTCGAATGAATAATACGAATATAAAATTTCGATATAATAATAATATGTATATACAATAAATTAATTAATCAGCTGTGCGATAT